CGCGGGACCTTCGCAAACCAGCGCTCAACCGCTGCGCCACCGGGGAGGCCCTAATTTGTTTCTTTAAAATTTTTTCCTTGAGGCCTCCCTGGTGGCACATGGGGTTAAGTCTCAGCACACTGAAGCTACTGCAGCACTGCAGCATGAGTTTGATCCCCAACTCCAGCCAGGAAGCAACCTACATGGTGCAGCAGACCTTTCCTGTCTCGCCTACTGCTCCCCTCAGCAGTGTATTTCAGTAGATTTGCCTGTTCTGCTCCCAACTCTGTCTCTGGTGAATCCTCTCACCACCACCCCATACCTCTGGCCTACTCCCCAGCTCTTGTATGCATAAATAAATAAAATAGATCTATAATAAGAAAAAGCAGAAAAAAAAAAGAAAGAAAGAAATCTGGTTCTAGTCTCAAATAATCATAAACAGATTTTTCATCTATGTGAATATCCTCTGAGACATCTGAAAATGATACAAGATGTAGAACAACTCTTTATACCATGCAGGGGTGTGCCTCACATGGTTAGATGTCTAATATCCCTCAGCTCCATCCACTAAAGTCAGTCACCCTCCCAGTTATTCTGAAATCACAAAATACCTCCACAAATTTCCAAACCTCCTTGGGATGACCCCAAACTCTCTGAAAAACCATTGGATTAGAGTAAAAATTAAGTGCAAAATCTCTGTAGCCAGTCTGCTTGTGTCTGAAACCTGTCTCCACTGCTCACTAGTTGTGTGATCTTGAGCAAGTAATTTAATCTCTCGGTGCTTCAGTTTCCACATTTGTAAAATAAAAATAATATCAGTATCAATGTCATGAGAGAAGTAAATTTGAAAATCCAGAGGGCCTGGGTGTCAGTGATTTACTTCTTAAATGATTTACCCTTTTGTAATTTCTAAATACTTAAGCAATAATGCTATAGCTATCTATCTATCTATCTATCTATCTAATTAACTCATTTTTTTTTAAACCTAGAAGATTTTAGGCCCAAGAATCAATACTGCTTAATGGTTTCATGGACAGAACTATTTTGGAACTACGAAATCACATGAAGTTTGACTTTCACATATTTTTTAACTTTCACAATGGTTCATCACAGACTATCTACCCTACATAGATGTATCCCAGTTTATATGCCAATAAGTATAGTCTCATTAGATACTTATTACCTGTCCAAAGAGATAGAGACAAGTAGCATAAATACTAAGAATAATAACAATTTTACATTTACATATGAGTTTATAGTTTACAAAGAGTAAGGTGGGGGAAAAAGATGACTTTGTAATTAGACAAAAGTAACAGGTCTACCTCCTTGAGTAAATTTTAATCTCTCCAAACTTCAAATTACTATAAAATAATACTGCCACATAGTTACCAGGGATTAAAAAAAAAAAAAAAAAAAAGAAGCAATTTCTCACAATGAGCTTTGTCTTTTTTAAAAAAAAGATTTATTTATTTATGCATACAAGAACTGGGGTATGGGCCTGAGATGGGGGGAAGGGGAGATGAGATGATTCACCAGACACAGAGTGGGGAACAGAACAGGCAGATTGAAATACACTGCTGAGGGGAGCAGTGGGCCAGACAGGAGAGGTCTGCTGTGCCATGTGGGTAGCTCCCTGGCCTGCCGGGCTCGAACTAGTGCTGCAGAGGCTGCAGATAGCTTCATAGTGCTGTGCTTAACCCCTTGTGCCACCAGGGAGGCTCGAGCTTTGTCTTTTTAAAGATAATTATAGTTTGGGGCCTCCCTGGTGGTGCAGGTTAAGCACAGCACCGTGAAGCCATCCACAGCCACTGCAGCAGGAGTTGAACCCCCAGTAGGCCAGGGAGCAGCCTACATGGCACAGCAGACCTCTCCTGTCTAGCCCACTGCTCCCCTCAGCAGTGTATTTCAGTAGATCAGCCTGTTCTGCTCCCCACTCTCTTTGGTGAATCCTTTCATATAAATCTTTAAAAAAAAAAAGTGATTTCCTATTTTTTTAAAAAAAGAAAAAAATTAAAGCTTATAAAGAAAGCGATTCCCCTCCCATTTCCCAGTGCCTCCACCTCCACCTCCACCTCCAGCAACTGTTAACCAGTTTCTCATGTATCCTTCCAGAGAGAGTCTATACATATATATGCAAATACACATATTTTTAAAAACTACAAATGGCTGCAAACTGCACATCCTCTATGCACTTTTTTCCCACTTAATATATCTTGGAGATAAATCAGTATTAGCACACAGAGGACTGGCTCATTGTTTCTAAGAGATACATAATTTATTTAGCCAGTACCCTACTGATGAACACCCAGGACACTCTCATTTCTTCAGTTTGCTCAGATTAAGAAATAAGAGGGGGCCTCCTTGGTGGTGCAAGGTGTTAAGCACCACACTATGAAGCAATCCACAGCCTCTGCAGCATGAGTTGTATCCCCAGCCAGCCAGGGAGAAACCCACAGGGCGCAGACCTCTCCTGACTCACCTGCTGCTCCCCTCAGCAGTGTGTTTCAGTTAGTGTGCCTGTTCTGTTCCCCACTCTGTCTCTGGTGGATCCTCTCACCCCCACTCTCGTATGCATAAATAAATAAATCTTTAAAAGAAAAGAAAGAAGAGGAAAAAACCCATTTGACTGTAAATTCAATGAGAGGTTTAGGCAAGTACAACTGGAGTATTCATATGTAACTTGTTTGCCCTTATTCACTGCAAACACAAATTAATCCTAAACTTCCCGCTTACATACTCCAATTGCAAAAGACACAATTCTGTATACTCCTCCCTGAGCCATTTCTGGTCCCAGAAATAAGTCTGCTAGCATCTACCGCTATTCCGTCCTTCTTGTGTACAGGAGAGTACAGACTACATGGGCCCTAACCCTGGGTGTACAACAATCACCATTCAGTCTTTCCTTTTTAAATCTTTCTTTTAATCTAAGCAATTGGTTCTGAACTTAGTGTTTATAACATCTAAGTTGGTATAACAGGGAAAGGATGAGCTGTGGCATCATATGTTAATTTTACCTTTTAATGGTTATGTTATCTTGAGCAAATTACAACCAAACTCTGAGACTTCTGAAATGTGCTCCATAAAACCACCTTCCATTACAATATCTCAATTTTTTGTTACAGACCGAAGTGAATCTGGCAAATGTGTAATAGATGCAAATAAATCCAAGCAATGGAATGGAAACATTATCTCCCGTGGATTCATTCAACACCAAACTTAAGAAGACAAGGTTTAGAGCCATTACTTGGCCCCTGTAAGTGCTCAACAGTTTTTTGACTTGAGCAAATTAGATATAAACTATTATGGTGGATAAAGCACTGGTTTGTTAGCTAAGGATTTCCCTTAATTAGGATGGCAGTCCCGAGTTGCTAAAAAGAACATGGAAATTTCAAACTTCCCAACAAGATGGTTTATTTTGACTTTCAAAGATAATTAAATTGAATCCAAGGGGGGTTTGGGGGGGATGTGCAAAACATTTCCCCTCCATAATTATGCACTAAGATTCAGGTTAACTATTAAACCGACACATAGTAAGCGCTCCATAATTAGTAGCTGTTACTAAGACGCATCTCACGGGGACAGAAGACCGAAAGTGGAAAAAAGAAAGGAGGCTGTCACTTACGGGAGGTCGGAAGGTGTTGCTGGCCTCAGACCTGCAGGCCTTAAGCACCTTGGTCTGTGGGATTCCTGCTGCACTGGGGGCCCAAGGAGGTCAGCGGCCTTCCCTAAAGGTCAAGGATTGCAGCCAGGCTTCCTGCTGGAGCTGGGAGCAGGGCTGAAACGCCCCCGCGAGAATCTGTACCCTGAAGCCAGAAGCACCGCCCGCCCATAAACCCGCGCCGGCTCTAGGCGAGAGGATGACGGGGTTGCCCCGCGCCGCCCGCAGACGCAGGAACCCGGCGGCGGCCGCAGCCCGCACCTCCCGACGCGGAGACCCCCCGGCCCTGCGGGCTCCGAGAGGCCACTAAGCAGCCCGGCCCCTCGATACTCACACTCAAGCCGACCCTTCTTACTCCATCAGGCCGCTGAGGCCCCGGCGAGGGAGCTTCCTCAGGCCCCCGTCGCCCACCCCCCTCGATTTTGGCCCCGCGGCCCGCTCGGGACCCGCTCCCCGCCGGGCACCGCCGCCGCCGCCAGCGCGCAGGCGCACAACCGCGCTGTCGCGCTTTGACTTTTTTTTTTCTTTGCAGTCCGCCTTTGTCAACAATCGAGCTTTATTGGAACACAAGAGCGTGAACAACCGACATGGAGGGTGGAGGGTTTCCTCCAGGAGAACAGGGCGGCTTGAGAGGAGTTACTGCGCCTCGCTGGACTGCTGTGTGACTAGCTTTCTTGTTTCCGTTTTTATTCTCTTTTATTTTTCCAGGCCTCCCTCTGTTCCGTCCTAAATACCCACCATTCCTTTTAAGAAATTAGAACCGTTTTGGCTAATTTCCGACCCTTCCTTCCTTGTGAAGCTTACTGAAAAGCTTGGTAGAAGGTGCAAGAACAGATAACACCTGTGTTCAAATCTTGATACCAGCTAATGGCGATTTATGGCTTTGATCAAATTACAAACTGTCAAAGTAAATTAAGGTGGTATCTTACCTCTTAGGGTATCGCTGGGATTAAATGAAATAACATTTCAAATATCTACCCTTGAATAGTGCCTATCATAGAACAAGCATTCCATCAGTACCAATGATCAATACCTTATTAATCGCTAATCAATTTCTATTTATTATTAGCCCACACTCATTCCCTCAGGATCCTATATTAGTGACAAGAATTAGTCACTGAATCCAAGTTACATTAAGACTAATAATGTGAAATGTTACTCCCCCAATGTTACTGAAGTTTTAATAGATTCTGTTTAACAAGACAGTGCCTCAAATCAAAATAAACAGATACCTCCATCTTATGTGTAAATCCAGATTTGCTTCTAGAGGATTGAGGAACTATTCCAATTCTGTATTTGTGACATCACAAGTCCTTGAAACACTCAAGGTCTGGGTTATGTTGCTCATTCTACTCTCCTTTAAAGGCATGCAGTGGAAGAGCCGCTTTACCTATATGCTCAGGGCCATAGTCCAAGGAAAAGCCTTTAGAAGACCGAAGTCAGCTGTTGGTTAGCAACAAGGTAATCCAAGACTAGTGTTTCTCAGTCTTGCACTATTGGCATCTTGGAGAAAATTCTGGTGCTGCCCTGTGTGTGCATTGTAGGATGTTTGGCAGCATCCCTAAATATTAGATGCCAGTAGTACTCCCTTACTTCCCCCTCCCACCATCACCTCACTGTCACCTTGGGAATCAAAAATGTCTCCAGACACTGCCAAGTGTTCTCTGGAGGACAAAAATGCCCTGATTAAGAACTAAGGCTATATACCAGTGACCATACCAATCCTAAATGAACTCAATTATGCACTTTCTCCACTTCTGCCCTGAAGAAGTGTTTAATACTTGAGAAAGTCACACAGGGAGAGAGAAACTAGTAAGATTATTCTTATTATTTTTTTTTTTTTAATAGAGGCATGTTTATTTATTTATTTATTTGTTTGTTTGTTTTTTTGTTTATACATGCACTGGGTACAGTCAGAAGCGCGGGAGGGTGAGAGAATTCACCAGAGCCAGAGCGAGGAGCAGAGCAGGCAGAAGGACCGAAGTACACTGCTGAGGGGAGCAGCGGGCGGCAGGAGAGGTCTGCGCGCCATGTGGGACCCTCCTCCGGTGGCCGGGGAGCAGCCGGGGATCGAACCGGCGCCGCAGACGCCGCGGGCAGCTTCGCAACCCAGCGCTCAACCGCTGCGCCACCGGGGAGGCCCTATTCTTATCAGTCCTATATAGTCCTGAAATCTGCTTACCTATCCTACTACTTTTCTCTGGTCAATATACTCTATCATATTCTACAACATTCCACATCTTCACTACTTTCTTTAAAGCTTCCAGTTCCTTTTCTATCAGAATCTGTTATAGGACAGGGAGAGGGGCAGCCCAAAACCCCGCAAACCTGCCTATTCTAAATGGGTTCTGCCATCCGCCGCATCAACACAAAATATAGGAGACTTTAATGGGAAGGAACTTTAATAAAACTAGGAAACAATACAGGTAAGGCAAAGAGTCTAGTTTCTAAGTGAAGCATCCAGAGTTACCCGTCCCCTCGTGGGTAAAAGTCCATCCAAATGGGATTGGCCCAGAGCAAGGCCCCAAAGCCTGCCATGAGTCTAAAGCACCTTCCAGTGGGGACCCACAGAAAAGGGTCACAAACAACCGGACAAGCCCGGAAGGAAAAGAGCAAAATCAACATCAAGATAAAAGCTGCCATGGTCACCCCCCCATGGGTCTCACCCACATCTGTGTCACCCAGTCCACAACCAAAAGACAAGCGCAGTTTCTTCACGTGTCTCTAGGCTCCATGTGCCTCCTCCAGGTCTCCTTCTGGCTCCACCCTGCTTCCTTCCTTCCTCAGTCTCTTCTGCCGCTTCTCCTCTTCCTGCTCAGCTCCACCCTCCCTTGGTTGGGGCAGGGAACCTCCCCCTTTCCTGGGGACCACCCTGTTGCAATCCCCCTTTTAATTTTTATTCCACCATATCTATGGTGGCACAATCTCAGGGTGTAGTCTTAGGAGACAGTCTTTTTTCAGGGTTACAATGTGTGTAAGAGAAGCAACAATTAGTCAGCAGCATTGTCCATGAATGTCCAGTATGACAGTTTTATTACTTAAAAATAGTCCATTATGCAAGCCAAAAGAAAAAAATTTGGAGCATCTGCTGTCTTGTTCTGGCTAATGCCTCCAGATGTTTTCTTTCGGCTGGGACTGATGAACTGTTTTTCCAGGAATGGAGGACTTTTGCTTTCCACAATGGACAATACCTGGAGGGATTCGTTTTCTTTCAGACTGGAACCCTGGAAAGTTTTCATCTGAGACTGTATCCCAGCATCCATATGTTTGATCTTCATCACCATGGAAATGGTGGCAAAAAGTGAAAGGGGGAATTGTTAGGGGGAAATGATGTCCTGAGTTAATCCCATACAGGCTTTGTGGACTCCACCCCCACTCCAGACTAAAGCCATCAGGACATTGGGAAAGACAAATCCCATCACCACCAAAGGGAGGGTGGCTGGGACCTGAGGGTGGAGTTGGGCAGCCAGGTTGGATATAAAAACCAAACACGTGGGCCTTGGGGTCTCTCTGGCTCGCGATCGCTCGCCTCCTGGCTTCACCGCTCCTGGCTGGCGGCCAACTCTGAGAGCGCCATTTTGGGATTCCTGATCGGCGGATCGGGTAGGACTCATTTAAAACTTTGTCTCCCACTTTTCTCCCAGAGCTGTACATTTCCTCATTTCCCCTTCCCTTGTAAATAAACCTTTTATTAACCTTTCGCGTGTGCCTGCAGTAGAGCATTGATAAGTCCTTTTAAGCGCGCGGGTGAGGACCCACAGTCAGGCACCCCGTTTTGTATCGGGGTTGCTCTACAACAGTTTGGCGCCCAGCATGGTTTCCAAGTTACACCCGCGGTTGACCAGCCCAAAGTAACATTCCTTGCGTTGGTCACCATAAGTGCACTAGTTCTGCAGGACTAGCAGTATAATATTTGTCTCTAGTCCTGAAAAGTCTGTTTTTTCCCTGCGTACAGCCCTTGTGGGTGTGTTTTGACTGAAATATGGCCTCAACCATGAGCCTATACAGTTTCATCCCTAGCCTGAGTTCTTTCAGTTTCCTTCCGGCCTTGAATTTGAGTAGCCTTCTTCCATTAAATATCACCACCAGTTTCATTAATATAAATAATTTGATGAAGCCTGGTGTATGGCATGTGATTTTACTATTGTATACATACATGGGTGGTTTACAAGCCATCCCTTTACAGACTGTGCTTCTGGGTGGTTTTTTGGTAATATGTGTAAGCACAATTTGCTACATTCTTGTTTCTGTGAGAGGTAGAAGTTCTACTTCACATACTGAGAATGTGCAACAACACATTCAGGCTCTTAACATAGCCATGCAACAACAAATTTAGGCTTTTAACGTGGCCATACAACAACAAAATCAGGCTTTTGATTTAACTATTAAGAGTATAAGGGATGAAAATCGTAACGTTTTTGAGTCAGCTTATCAAAGCATGCTGTATCAAGTGCAACAACAAAATCGGACTTTTGAGTCAGCTTTTAAAGGTATGCAGGACCAGATGCAGGCCGCCCTCCATAAATTAGATATGGCGGAGGCGAAGGCTAGGCTAATGGTGCAGAGAAAAGATAAACCTCCCCCTTTCCTGGGGACCACCCTGTTGCAAAACTACCTCATCTTGGGCCTCCCTGGTAGCGCAAGGGGTTAAGCATCAGCACTATAAAGCTATCTGCAGCTACTGCAGCACCTGAGTTGGATCCCCAGCCAGGGAGGTGACCCACATGGTGAAGCAGACCTCTCCTGTCTCGCCCGTTGCTCCCCTCAGCAGTGTACTTCAGTAGATCCACCTGATCTGCTGCTCCCCACTGTCTCTGGTGTATCCTCTCACCTCCCCCATCTTTGGCCTACACCCCAGTTCTTGTTTGCATAAATTTTTTTAAAAACACACAAAAAGAAACTACCTCATCTCTTATTTCACAGAGAAAGCAGAGGTTATCAGATAAGAACTTCTTTAATTCCTGTTACTAAACATACAAACTTGCAGACACATACTTCCTCTCATTATAACTGAAAAGGTACTTTCTCTCTTCCAAGATCATTCTTCCCATCAGCGCTTTGGATTACCTCTATACAAATGCTCACAAAATCTTTACCTACTGACTATTCCTTCTTTTTATTCAATAGTTTTCTCTCAGTTGTATGTTCCTTGTCATGCCTTAATTTCTAACAAAAATCCAAAAACAGGAAAAAAATTGACCCTTTGTCATCCACTCTCCTTTCTCCCTCAGAAGGCCAAACTTTTCAAAAGCATTCTACAGCCCATTTCTGCATCTACCCTCTCTCTAATCTACTACAATCGTTCAACCTTACCATTTCACCACGTAGCGGTCACTAAAATTACCCAACACCTATGTTATTAAATTATAAAATTATTTCTTAGGCTTCATTTTCCTTGACCCTTTACGTACAGTCCACTTCTCTGGTTCTCTCTCCTCCCCTTCCTCACCCTTTATTTCCAACATTGTGCTTTATTTGTAGAGGTGCGTGGAGGGGACACCACACCTGCAGATCTACTTAAAACTACCCAACAGCTGTCAGTGGTCATACTATAAATGCAGGTTTGTTGTTCGAAAATTGTAAGGTCTGGGGCCTCCCCTGGTGGCGCAGCGGTTGAGCGCGGGGTTGCGAGGCTGCCCGCAGCCTCTGCAGCGCCAGTTCGATCCCTGGCCACCGGCGAGGGGCCCACACACACACACACACACACAAAAAAAAAAAAAAAAAAAAAAAAAAGAAAGAAAGAAAATTGTAAGGTCTGGCCATGGTCGATTTGCTAAAGTTTATTTCCTCCTTCACCCGGGAACATACAACGATTTCTAAACGTCTAGCAAGGATGAACTACAAGTAATTTCCAGAAGTGCTATATGTTGTTGGCCTAAGTTGTTTCCACAGCCTGGAAAACTTAGCTCCCTTCCTCCTGGACTTCGGGGACTTATCCTTCATGATTTAAGTTACTTCCTCTGAAAACCCTTCCAGACACCCCTAAGAATAAGGCCCTTCGTTCATTATGCGCCAGCGGCGCCTCGGATTTTCTACATGCTACGCACCCTATTCTATCCACTAAAATTTGTTTGCAAATTTATCCGCCTCTCTATACAGATCAAAAGCTCCTGGAGGGCAGGAAAGGCACCCAGTTCGCCTTCCTTCAGCGCTCAACAGGCACAGCCTGGCACAGAGTCTGTCCTCGGCAAGAGTTTGCTGCAGGAACACTTCACCTTGGGACGGGGCTCTCACCTACGGGGTTAACGGGTGAGTCCCCAGGTTCTCGCCTGCGTGGCACAGAGCTTTAAACCCCCCGCGCCATGATTGGCTCCTGCCGCCGGGCAGTGTCCGCGCCGCGGCGCTGGCGAAATGCGCAAGCGCGCCGGGTCAGCGCGCGCAGGCGCAGGAGAGGCGCAGCGTCAGGGCCAGTCCCGGCTGTCCGAGCTGCCGCGGCCGCAGAGGAGTGGCCGGAACTGCTCGGTGAGTCTCCTGGAGCCGGGCTGGGGGACCTCGCCCTGGGGAAGCTTCAGATCATGTCCCAAGGAGAAAGTGTATTTCGTGACGTTTGAAAAGTGGCCGGGGTCGGGGTCTTCAGGGTAAGCGGGGATGGAAGGGGAGGAAGGGACGCCCCGGCCCGGACTGGCCAGGTCGGGCCCGGACCCTGGACGCGGGGTGGCGGGAGATGATCTAGGGGCCTGCGGGGAAGGGGGGAGGGATGGAGGTTCTGGACCCTTTCTGGAAACCAAAAGAGACTGACGTCCACCCTTGCCCACCACCGCAGTGCTTCAGTGGTCGGGACTCATAGGCTGTGTGGTGATCAGGTGAGTGTGATATTTGATTGGAGAAGGTGTTTTTATGGCATGGAGAGACCTTGCTCTCTAGGAAAGTCCATTCTTACCTCGTGTCTTTAGTGCAGACGCAAGAAGTAAAGATTGGTAAAAGAACGAATTTCATAATTTGGAGTTGGAGTAGTGGGGTGGGAAAGTCCTGGGAAGTGGTGGTTTTGCCTTTTCTTCTTTTGTCATAGTCATCACAATGTTAGGAAAGACAAATTAAGATAGGGGAAACTGAAAGACATCAAAATTGAGAGAAGAAGATGAGAAGGAAGTATTTTGCTTTTTTTACTTGTCATCTCCTTGGACCGGGTGGGGCCGGGGCAGACTGGGAGAGGGAAGAAGTTTGGATATTAGCAACTTAATGATACTCAGCCTTGTGATAATAATGTAGTTTCCGAGCAGATATTTCAAGAATTGAGAGGGATATTATTCCATCTGTCCTGGTGCCCTTAAGACTGGTTTTCAGCTGTTCTAGTAAAATGCTGCAGATATGCCCAAATAGACATGGTTCTCCCACATTCTTGCCAAGCCTGGGAAAGACCACACTTGAAATTGATGAGAAATCATTTGCTAGAATACCTTAAGAACAAATACTACATTTTGTAGCAATTTTTTAAAAATTAATATTTCTCCCGCTAGCCAAGTTGATGCCAAAAGCCAATCAGCAATCACTTGTCATTTGTTCCTTTGGCAAGAGGTAATGACAGAGAACACATAAATATTAGTAAATATTAGTAAATATTAGGAGAAACGCCTCACATTACCATGCTCCTTTGACAGGTGATGTGAAGGTAAATAAAATGATCATAACTTAACCTACAGCTTAAATATTTAGTAGTCTTGCTAGAATTAAAACATATTTTGTATGTGTGGATTTGCCCTAGAAAATTGCTCTTAGCTTAATTCCAAAATAGGAATGACTTACTGTGTCATTATTTTCTTAATATTACACTCTTTTCTATAAACAGTAGAATTTCTGTGTGCATCTTAGTATTTGTTTCTTTTACTCTCTATGAATTTAAGTGTAGTGATGAGCTCACTTAACTAATGATCACATCTTGTCTAAGATTCACAACACAACCCTGAACCAAGAAGAAAGCAAACAAACGAAAAACAGTCTCTGTTGTTCATAAGACACCTGTCTGTATTCATCATGAACCATACCACCACCATAAATGTTATCTATTAAAAGATCATCTGTTATAACATATTTTTAACAGATCTTTTTTTTTTTTTAAACTTTACCCTCTTCCAAAGTGATAATCAGACGTTAAGGTTTGATGTATTTTTTTACCTTTGTCCAGTCACATTATAATAAATATGTAACTATGAAATATATTACTACAGTTACTTACATAACAACTAAAATCACATCTTGGTATTGCTGTACACTTTGGAAAATACTGGCCTGATTTTACTTATTTTTTAAAAAAAATGAACTCTAAGGCCAATAAGCTTCAAAATTCTGTGGGCCCTTTGATGGCATTCATTGTTGTGACACAACTCTAGCAAATTTACTAATTTGGTTTTGCCAGATGAAATTAGGTTAGAATAGCAAAAGTGGAAAAAGTGAGTGTTTGCTTTCTTACATTTTTGTGAAATCAGCTGTTTTCATTTTTTTCTTCTGAATTAAGGTGCTCTTTTTCTTCTTTGGTTCCTATGTATCAAACATTCTAAAAAGCTTTCATTTAGTTGTGTTTGTACTCTGCATTCTGTATATGTTAGCATTTATAATGTTGCTTGTATCCAAGAGTGCTGAACTTCTTATTCCAGTGCCATATTTTGTTTCCAGGTCTGTACATGACGGAGGAGTAGATGATAGGGACTTTTATTTGTGGTAGTGGGGAAGGTAGTGGAAACACATGGATTCAGTGCCTCTAACAATTGGAGGAAGTGGATTGTGGAGGCAGGAAACAGCATGCGATGTTCCTTTTGTAATAATGGATGTGGAGGTAGGAATCCATTTGCACTCATTTAAATTCACTGATATTTTTGTTTTGATTTCAACTTAAATTTCATCCCTACAAAAATATTTGAATCACTGTATTTTTCTGGAATTCCCTCATCTTGTTGATTTTAATTAGTTTTATAACTTAAATTTAAAGTTGGTTTTAAATTTATTTTTACAATGTTTTGAGACTTGAGATTACCTTTAGGTGGCCCCTTGATACTTATAACATAAATCTCAATTTCTCAGTATAGCGTACAAAGCCCTTTGGGATTTTTTTATTTTTTAAAGATTTATTTATTTATTTATTTATTCATTCATTCATTCATTCATTCATTCAAGCACTGGGTACAGTCAGAAGCGCGGGAGGGTGAGAGAATTCACCAGAGCCAGAGCGGGGAGCAGAGCAGGCAGAAGGACCGAAGTACACTGCTAAGGGGAGCAGCGGGCGGCGGGAGAGGTCTGCGCGGAGAGGTCTGCGCGCCATGTGGGACCCTCCTCCAGTGGCCGGGGAGCAGCCAGGGATCAAACCGGCGCAACCCAGCGCTCAATTGCTGCGCCACCAGGGAGGCCCCAAAGCCCTTTGGAACCTGTTTCCTGTCTGCCTTTAAAGTCACCCTATTCCCTCCATAGTCTCTCAGTCTCTCTCCCCCATTCTTTCATGCACACATGCAAATATGTAATATTCCTTTCTGACATGAGGGCCTGACATTATGGCATTTCTTTGACAATCTAAAATGTATATATTTTTAGGGTTGATCATGTATGGATTTTGACTAATCAAAATCATGAGATGTTTAATAATTATTGTGAAAAATTATAGTAGTTGTCTTGATCACCATGTGCCAACAAAGTTCTCAGCGCTTTGCATGAATTAATTCAATCCATAAAACAACACCTAAAGTAAACATTATATTGTCATCTGATGAGGACACTGAAGCACAGAGAAGTTAAGTAAGCAATAGTCAGGACTTGAAACCATTATGCTTCCAAATATTGGGCACTTAGCACTACAGTGCATTGTCTCTTGTATAAACAAGAATGGCACTGTCAATCCACTGAGGGACTATTCTTTCCAGGGACCTGAGTGCTTATGGTCTATCTGTGGCATTTGACTCCTGGTATCCTCTGGATACTTGAAAAGCTAACCAAAAGGCTTCTAGGTGAACTTGGATTCAGAATCAAAATACTTAGAAGGTTTGGGTGAATATCTCTTTCAGGTAGGGTGAAACCTTGCCTGTCATTGTTACCCCACATTGTTATCATACTTGTATCTTTCAGATTGTTTGTCTCTCTTCCCTGGAGAATGCTGCATAATTTTCCAGCTTCTGGCTCTTAAGTCCCTTTCTTTTTTTCCTTTTTTTTTCTTTTTGTTTTTTAAAGATTTATTTATTCATGCATATAAGAACTGGGGTATAGGCCAGAGTTGAGGGGGTGGTTGAAAGGATTCACCAGAGACAGAATGGGGAACAGAATAGGCAGACTTAGTGAAATACGCTGCTGAGGGGAGCAGCAGGCGAGTCAGGTGAGGTCTGCTGTGCCATGTGGGCTGCTCCGTGGCCGGCCAGGGGATCGAACTTCTGCTGCAGTGGCTGCGGATTGCTTCCGTAGGTTTTGTCTTAACCCCTTGCACCACCAGGGAGGCTCTTGAGTCCCTTTCTTATCTTTCATGTAGAGCGACCTATTTCTGTTAGATTGGGTCAGTATAATTGATTATAATCACTTCTAGATCTGCCTCCTTAGAATTACTCCCTGGTCTATTAGAGTAGAAGTTCTGGGCTTGACCTGGGCTTGAAAACTGGGCATTGAACATCAAGCAATTAAGCTATAATAGGTGCTTCTGTAAAATTCAAGTGTAATTTTGGTCCTTTTACTTCCTGATTTGTGTGATATTTTCTCATTCCACAGTGTAATTTCTGTATTGAATCATGTGCTTCAGTGCACTTTGAAACTAAGATGTTTGATAGATATATTCTTATATTTGCATAAATTTGGGACCTTGATCTAAAAATGGTTAAAGTTGCTGCTAAATGGCTAAGGTTGGTAGAAGGAAGTACATAGGAAACTTGAGAGAGGAAGTAAAAAGAAACGAGAGAGGAAGTAAAAGGAGGAAACTAACCTTAACACAAATAAGATTGTCATCTAAATGCCTTCAGAAAGAATTAACTTTCCTCATCAGAGCATGGGGTTTTTTGGGTTTTGCCTAGCCCTGAATATTTAGAGTATTTGCAGTACTATGCACCTATAGTTTTTGAGTATGTTCGTGAATATTTTTCTTCCTCCCTCCCTCTTTCCTTCTTATCTCACTTTTCATGTGTGTGAACATTTTTAACATTTCATAGTAAAACATTTTGTATTCGGAAGCATAGTGATTTCGTATCCTGACTATTGCTTGCTTATCTGTGCTTCAGTTTTCTCATCAGATGAGAATGTAATGTTTATTTTAGGTGTTTTATGGATTGAATTAATTCATGCAAAAAACG